AGGAGCGCACGGCAGGCCCAGGGCGCGGGGCGCAGCCGGGCCTCGGCCGCCGGCCTCGAGTCGGGCCCCGAGGACGACGTTCCGCCGGGCTCAGCGGAGCTGGGGGCCGCGCACTCCACGAGCACCTCTGGGTCCTTTCCCCGCTCCACCGCCGGCTCGATGCATGGGGAAGAGTCCCTTCCCTATGAGAGTCCGCCCCGCGCTGACAGAAGCGGGCGCACAGCGTGCACGCGGTGTGCCACACCCCGCCAGTGGCGCCCGAGAGCCCCCAGACTCCTCCGAGGGACCTCTTCTCCAGGCAGGGCCGCAGGAAGAGGGGGGCGAGGCGGCGGGGCAAGGACCGCGGCGACTGTGGGGGGGATGGCAATGGTCAGGGTGCTCAGGAGGGTCGTGCTTCCGCGCAGGGGGCCGACGTGTGTCCAAACACACTCGTCGGAACTCTGCAGGTGGAGGCGGGTCCCCACGTACCTGGCCCTCCGAGTGTTCTCCAAGCCGGCTGGGAAAATCCCGGCGCAGGACAGGAGGAGCGTGGGAGGCGCTTGGCGGCAGTCAGAGCCTCGGGTCCTTTCTGCCCACACGCGCTGCCACGCGCACAGGTGGCGGTGGTGTGGGATGGCGGCCTTCAGCGCGGCGTCCTGGCGGGCGGCCCCAGGGGGCAGGAGGGCCGCCTGGCCCCCGGGGGCGGCACTGAAGCAGAGGGAGAAGGGGGCCCACCGCCGCGGTGGGAAGCCCGGGGGCTGAGCGGAGGCCCACGGGGCTGGCGGTGGGGGGTGCGGGGGGAGGAGCGGGGCACGCGGGCCAGGAGGCGGCCATGGGTGAGGGCCAGGCGGCCGGCCTCGCAGTTGCGGGCAGCCCCTCCCTGAGCCCGAGCCCGACGGTTGGAGCCCGCGCCCCGCCCCGGCCCCGCCCAGGCCCCGCCCCCAGGCCGCCAGCCCGCCGTTGCCTAGCAACGCCTGGCTGTGATTTGACTCTTAGCCTCGCGCAGCCACCGGGGCCCTGACACTTGGCGGGACTGTCCGACTGGGCTGGACGCTCTTCGCGGAGCGCACCAGGTCAGTGCTGTGACCCGCAGCGATGGCCTCCTGGTTTGGCCGCCTCGGCCTCGGCTCCGGCTTAGGCCATTCCCTGGGGCGAGTGGGCGGCAGCGTGGCCTCCCTCCCCGCACACCTCTCTGACTTCACCAGAGGTGTGCTGTGGAAGGGGACGCAAAAGCTGCCAGGCTTCCCCGACTCGGGGAGAAAGGAGACGGAAGCCATTCAGGCGACCGGACAACCCGAGAAGGAGAGACCGGCAACTCCAGCTCGGAGAGACACCGCAACTCTGCCGGAAACCCTCGAGGAAGGAGACACGGGGCTCGCCTCCCTGCAAGAAGAAGGCAGTCACCTGAGGGAAGACCTGGAGCCACGGAGACAACGGGCTCGAGCCGCTCCTGTGGTTGACCCGAACACCCTCGACGCCGTGACACAACTAGAATCTGAGGTGTCTCAACTGAAAGGGATCGAAGGTCACCTGGAGGAGGAAACCCAGCATCCTCCAAGGACCACTGAAGAGCAAAAGCAGAGGAAGGCACAACGCCTTCCAACTTGCCAAGAGCAGAAACGGCAAGTGGGCGATCTTAAGGAGGCGCCCGAGCCCATGCCTAGAAAACGCGCTCAGCTCTCTTCAGCCGAGGAGGAGGAAAGCGAGACCGCGCAGAACACCACAGAACACATCCAAACCCCATCGCCCGAGAAGACCCAGCCCGTGCAGACAAAACCTGCTGAGATTTGTCAAGGAGCGAGAGCGGCGGGTCTTCGTCGGCCAAACGGAAGTGAAAAGCATGATGGGGCCAAAGCTGAAACCGAACCTTTAGGAAAAGGGAGAGAAGCGGCAGAAGGGGAGATGAAACTTGGGACCGAAAAGACGATCCCTCTGACCGAGCAGCTTGATGAGCCGGACGAAGATGAGACCGGTCCACGAACTCTTATGATCCAGGCGCAAGACTGGGAGAGCCAGGGCCTTCCCGCTCGCCTAGCTTTGGCTGCCTCCGTCCAGGACGCGGGCAGCTTCCAGCAGCAACTGCAAGCATATGCTTTGGAAAGGGAACGCGTGTTGGCCGTTTTCGACGAGAAGGTGAGGGAAAACAGCCACCTGAAAAGGGTGTATCACACAATGATGGACCTGCTGGTGGCCAAAGAAGCAGAGCTCGGGAAGCTGCGAGGCGAAAATCAGACACGGCGCCCTCGATCTGACAGCGGCGGTGAGGACATGTTTCGAGAAGCGATCCGGCACTTATCACGCCTCGTCCGAGCCAAAGACATTGAAATCGGTGCCTTGAGCCAGAAATGTCAGACTTTACTGACCATCTGGCAAACGTCCAACGCTGGCCATGAGGTTCGCGGCATGGACGCGAATCAGTTGGAGGAGCTTCTCCGGGAATGGGACACATTGAAGCAGCGGGTCAACATGCTGGAGGAGTGGCAGCGGCTGGTGCTGAGCGAGGTGCACAATCTGCAGCGGGAGTCATCCCAACTTCAGAAAGAACTCCCACCACTCGAGGCACGGGCCTTAGTGGACAGCGAGGAGAGGTGTCGGCGACAGATGCACTCTGCCGCCCCGTTCCCCCGTCCTCAAGGGGATGCGACCCAACTCTGGCTCTTGGGGAAGAGACTGGCACAGATGCAGCTCGGCCTGGAGCAGCTCTGCAATGCCAAGGAGATTCTCTTGGGTCCACCCGACCTCACGTCACCACAGCCGCCCGCCGCATCGTCGCGGACTTGCGAGGCAGCCGGCTCTCAGGAGGCAATTAAGTCCGAGGCGCTGGGCAAGTCTTCGAAAGGGCCGCCAGCAGAGGTGGAAGCCTTAAGGAGAGCCACGGAGGAAAAAGACACAGCCATCAGAAGCCTCCAGGAGGAGACTCAGAGACTGTCCGAGGCGATGGCCGCCACCTCGGAACTGGAGAGAGAACGACACGCACAGACGGATTCCGAAATTCAGCGGCTCAGTGAGAAACAAGAGGCTTTACAGAACACGCTGGAGGACAAAGAGCTCTTAATCGAGGCGCAGAGGGAGGAATTCCTCTCTCTGAGGGAAAACCTCACAACCCAAGCAAGCGAAAACGAACTTTTGAGGCAGGCGGTGACAAACCTGAAGGAGAGAATAGTCCATCTGGAAGTGGATGCGTGCCAAGTCAAACAGGAAAATGCAAAGCTGCTGGAAAGGTCCAGGGAGAAGGACACCGAAAACCAAGCCTTACAAGAGACGAACATGCGCCTCTCTATGATGCTGAGGGAGAAGGAATTCGAATGCGTCTCCGTGAAGAAGAAGGCTCTGGCTTTTGAGTGCCTCCTGAGAGAAAAAGAACAGGGCCAGGCTGGGGAATTAAGCCAGCTTCTCAATGCAGTGACCTCCATGCAGGAAAAGAGCATTCTCTTTCAGCACCAGAGAGATGAGGCGGCGCTGGCGCTGAGACAGGAACGAGTGGAAAACTGCGCCCTGCGGGAGGAGGTTCACCTTTTGCGGGACAAGGAAGCGCGCTTAGGCCAGGAGCTGGGGAGGTCTCGGACGCAGGCTTCAGAATGCGAAGACTGGCAACTCCGGGCAGCGCGGCAGGCAGAAGACAGAGCGGCTCAACTCAGGAGGAAAGTCACGGCGCTAGAGCAGAGGCTCCTGTCATCTTCCCACGCCATGCAGAAGGCGAGCCAGCGGGCCGCTGCCCGGGTCGGGTCCCTGCAGGAACAACTGACTGCCATCACCGAGCAGAAAGAGGAGACTGCCCTTCAGCTGTCCGCCTCCCGGGAAGCAGAGAAGCAGCACACCGGAGCCCTGGCCAACCTGAAGGTGGTCCTGGCCTAATGGATGCAAAAGGCAGACGGCCTGGAAGGGAAGCTGAGGTCGCTGCAGGGACGGCTGGAGAGAGTGCAAGACACCTCGCGCCTACAGGAGGAGCAGATCGGAGAACTGCAGCGACAAGACGAGGCCCGACAGGAAGTGCTGGAGGACGTCCAAAAGAAGTGGACCGACTTAGTGAGCACCCTGGAAGGAAAAGCAGACAAGGCCCTCCTGAGAAAGCTCTTCACAGACGCCTTGCAAAGCGCCAGACAGGAACGCCGGGAAGCGTTCCGACGGATGGGAAGCACCCTGGGTGTGGAAAGGGAGGCCATGGAGCAGTTGCTGCAGGAAGAGCAGGGCGGCCTTACCGGATGGGTGACTGGGCGGCTGGGATCCCGCAGTGCCCCCGACACGCCTCCTCCTCGGAGACCCAACCAGCAATCCGAGCTCAAGAGTTCCTTCTCGGAGCTTTTCGTGAACTTTCTAGAAGCTGAGTCTCAGGGAGCTTCTCCACCACGACAGCTCCCCGCTCAGCCCAGGAAGCGTCCCGGAGCACCCGCCAGGAAGAGACTGGCTAAGAGCGTGCCAGCTCTTCTGAGACCCGCCCTCGCAGCCACCCCCAGAAGATCGGACGGGAATCCCTGCTCCCCAGCTGTGTCTCTCATCGACCCACCCGGCCCCGGAACCGGAGGGTCTGGGCACCTTCTCTTAGACGCCGTGACCAACGTCGTGCCCACGGGCACACCTTGGCTGCTGCCACCCGCCAAGAGTGCTGCCGGGCTGCTCCAAGGCCTGTCCAAGCCCTAGAGGCTCCCCAAGCCGCAGAGGAGACGACGGCGCTTTCAGGAAAGCCGGTCCCTCGCTGCGGGTTCCTTAGCACAAAGTGGCCTTGTGCTAAAGGTCACAGGTTTCTCTGCGGCTTCACTGGAGCTTTCAAAGAAACAGCTATGGTTCACGCTTTCAAAAGGGTGTCGCTGCAGGTAGTCACCCAACTTAAAGCGGACGTCACTTCTCTGGAGAGCGGGCGCGGCACCGGTGGGATCGCAGGCTGTGGGCCAAGGACGCTTCCGATTCTGTTTGTCACGCTGTCACTGTCTCCGATGGCTGGGGGGCATGCGGTGGGGGGTGGGGGTTGGGTCTGGGAGGTGGGGGGGTTGCGGGAGGGTGGGGGGTGGGGGGGTGGGAAGGGTGGGGGTGGGGGAAGGGGGGCGTTTATTGAGCTTTCCCTCAGGGAGCGGGAACCTAACTTGCCTTAGTGCTGCAGAATCAGAAAGCGCGCGAGGGCGCCCACTCCCGGGACAGTAGGAAGAAAGGGGAAGGGCACCAACGTGCAAAGGGCATCCAAACTTCACAAGGAAAGCTTGGTTTCCCCCGGCTCGGTCCTCCTCCTCTTTCCACTTCCTGGGAAACCGCCCTCGGGTGCTCTCTGGCCTCTGGGACAGACAGGAAAACTCCTAAGCACTGGAGGATCTTATTCCCTGACTCGCTTTTGGTTGAAAAGCCAGTCACCAGACGTCAGAAATCTTTGCAAGGGTTTACCAACTGCATCTTGTTGTTTTCCAAAGCAGGGGTCTGTGGTCTGTGGTCCAGATGGACACCGACTGACTGAACCGGCGCCTCGCGATGGGCATGGAAGCCGCTTCTGCCCCCAAGCCCATCAGAGGGCCGTGGTCAACCCCATCCCCCGCCCCGTTTCCTCAACAGCCCCTCCAAATCTCCATCGCCTGCCTCAAGCGGGATCGTCCTCATACCGTTCGGTACCCGAAGAGATCAGAAGCCAGCTAGTCAAGAACTCTCCCTTTCCCACACCCCCCCACCCCCGTTTGAACGTCCCTCTACTTCTCTCCACCCACCCCTCCCCTTTCCCTTTGGTTTTCCAGGAAGAGGGATTCAGCTTGGCAGTTCCAGGGTCCTGGCTCCACGTGGGGTGCCCTGGGAACCATCTGCTCAGCCTCCCCCAAAGATCTCGTTCCCTCAGTTTGCCAGCTGCTTTCTCTTCGGCCCGTCTCTTTCCTTAAGCCGCTGAGCACACCCAAGTCTCTCCCAGCATCCACACCTCTCCTTTCTGCTCCTCCACCACCGCCTTCTCTCTCTACCTTTCACGGCTAAGCTGCTGGCAAAAGACCTCGACTTCTCGTCAGCCATCCAGTCATCGCCTCGTCTCTCACCGGCTCCTCGAAAGACTCCCCAAATCTCGTCGCCGTCACGTCCTAGCAGGAGGCCAGGGAACGCCCTTCGGTTCCTTCGCCTTCCTAAACTCTCTGTGGTGTCTGAGGAATGCTGCCCACGTCTACAGTCTCTGAAAGTTCTCTCCACCCTCTTTCTCTGGGGGATGGCCCCCTCCCCAGGTGCCCTTCCTAACCTCAGACCCTTCTGTCTCACTTTCCTCTGCAGCTTCTCCTCCCGACCACTTCTCAAAGGGTTCTGTTCTCGAAGGCAGGGTCTTCAGGGAACAGGAACCCCTCGGGTCTCAGAGCAAGCTCATGTGCTCCTACGATTCGACTCGCCCCCAGATGCCCAGGGCTTCTGAGTGCGTACGACTGACATCACCCTGCCCCTGACTCCACGCTGCTTTCTCTAACTGTCTGCTGGACGCACCTCTCAGGATGTCCAAAGGCTTCTCAAAACTGACACGTCCAAAGGGGAGCCCGGTATCCTCCAACAAAACCCTCCCCCTCCTCTTACCTTCCTTTCATCACCTCAGAAAACCTCTGCCCATCTCATCACCCGGGAGCGAGAGGCCTCAAGGCCACGCTTGAGCTCTCTGTCTCACCCACTTCGCAGCCTCCCGACTCCCAAAGGGAGCCAAGCACCTTAACTTCTTTGCCGTCCCCACTGCTCTGCCGCATGCCTTCCTGTCTCTTGCACGCAACCAGCCCAGTAGACTCCTTACTGATCTTGCCGGCTGGCCTCCTGGCACACTGCCCCCCCTCCCCACTTGAATCCATCCTCCACACTGTTGGGAGGGTGACCCAAGAGGAAAACCCTGCCGTTACTGACACCACGGTGCCCAGCCCCCACAGGGGTGGACGTGGGCAAGAAAGTAACCAAAGTTTCTGAGGTTGTTTTGCAGAACAACAGGAAGACGGCAGAGCAGAGAGCAGCTTGATGGCAGCCCCCTGGCCCCCGCCTGACTGGACATCGTGCAGAGGCTTGGACCAGCTGAAATGACCCATCGCCAACTTTCTGCGTCACAGGCAGAGATCCTTGGCATGCACCACGTCGAACCCTACTGAGTTCGCTCTTGTGACCCGTGAAGAAATGGGATCCACCGTTGCACCTGAGCAGAGGACTCTTCAAGCTTCACCTGCAGCGCTCTCCTGATCCTACCCCTTCCCTCTGGAGGCAATATAGTCCTTGTCTACAAATATTACTTAAGGCCATTTATGCTGTGACCTACAAATTAGCCCAGCTTCAGCGGGGACCCCCTCCAGCAAAAGACTCTAGAAGCTGTCCTAATTAAAATCAACAAGCCATCCCACTAGAGCCCTCAGAGACTCCTCTGGTGAAGAGGCTTCGGCAACCTCCTCTCATGCTTCCTGGAAAACCCAGAACGTGGGTAAGTTTCTGTTGGTTCCTGAGCAAGAAGCCCGCCTCATTGGTCCTGCATTCGGCAGTATTAGAGCAGCAATCACTGGCCTGTTCTGGAAATAGAGTCTTTCCTGGACGCTGAGGCCTCCATTCCCAGCTGCCTATTATCACTTTAGTCCTGGAAGCAGCACCCAAAAAGTGCGGGACGGTTACCAAGGCCTCCTTGCAACAGGATGGATCCAAAAATGGTCCCTGTGGCATGTCCTACATGTCAGATTCGGTGCCCTCCCCTGTCCTCCATCCATTGCCGAAAAGCATGGAGCTGCAGATGTCACTTCTCCCAGAGAACCCTTGGCTACCTTACTGATCTTATTGGCTGCCCTCTTGGCCCCCCTTGGATCCATCCTCCACACTGCTGGGAGGGTGACCCAAGAGGAAAACCCTGCTGTTACTGACACTGTGCCCGGCCCCCATAGGGGTGGACGTGGCAAAGAACGTAACCAAAGTTTCTGAGGATGTTTTGCAGAACAACAGGAAGATGGCAGAGCAGAGAGCAGCTTGATGGCAGCCCCCCGGCCCCCCCCCGAGCGGACATTGTGCAGACACTTGGACCAGCTGAAATGACAGATCGCCAACTTTCCACGTCACAGACAAAGATCCACGGCATGCAACACGTCGAACCCCACTGACTTCACACTTGTGACCCACGAAGAAACACAAACGACAGTCACACCTGAGCAGAGGACACTTCAAGCTTCACCTGCAGCGCTCTCCTGGTCCCCACCCCTACCCGAAACCGAAACCGCAGCTAAAAACCCCAGTATTTTTCCTTTGAGTTTTGCATAGCTACTCTCACCTCCTTGTCTGGCTGCCTCTTGATCATAAACCTCTTTCCTTGCTATAATCCTAACGTTTCACTGATTGGCTTTGCTGCAAAATTGGGTAAACAAACCTGAGTTTGTGTTTGGTTTCATCGCTTCCCTGCTTGAAATAATTCAGGGTCACCCATTTCCTGGAAGCTGAACTTTAGCTGAATCTCCAAGACCTCGCCTCTGCATCTTTCCTCCCTGCTCCTCACCCACATACAGGCCACCCTCCTGCCACGTGCGATTTTCTGCAAACCCCGAACAGGTTCTGACTCAAGTGACTTCAGGACCATCTGCCTTATCACAACAGAGCCCTTGCTTCAAGAAACTACACACCAGAAGTGTTTAATTTTCCTTCTCTTCACTTAGATGCTGCAACTCTCACCCCCTCTCAGGTCATGGCATGTCTGAATGCTTAACAGATGAGCTCAACAACAGTTTATTTGTTAAGTAATCTCCCATCCCAGGGTAATACACTGCACTCCATGCAGAGCCACACAGGGAGAGCTCTTTGGAAGAGAGTAAATATGTATGGCTATGGGAGCACACTTTTCAGTAACAAGAGGGTGGTTGTGACCCTTGGTTCCTGCAGGAAGGTATGATTGCCTTCTTTGAGTAATTACACAGGCTGATAGTAAACTGGAGCCTACTACTTGTGGAGCAACTGTGCCTGGTCCCTGTGATAAAGGGCTCTTTTTGGTGAGGGGACCTTAACTGTGGGAGCAGAGAGGGTAGGGAACTTGCAAGTAGGCCATTTGAGGCCCTCTGATTTGACCGGAAGTCAAGGCCACACTTAATACTGAATCTTCGTTTCAGGCCTCATACCAGAATTGATTCTTTGATGCCTTGACATCAATTACACCTTGGTGATGACTGAGACTTTTAGGGAGGAAGACAAATGCTTCCCTGGAAGCACAATTGGCCAGAAAGGAGAAGTGGTCATCAGCAAACTCAAGTATATGAACTCTCATTGACGTTCACTCGGTTGATCATAAGGGAATCCCCAGGTACTAAGCGACCTGGGGAAGGGGTAACATCCTCCAGCATCATGGCATCTGGCAATGGAGTGGGGACAGGGGAGAGCACCCTTGCCAGCAGGTAGGACATGCCATGTGGCCCAGGTTTGGCTCCATCCTGTAGCAAAGAGGCCTTGCTAACTCCTGAACTTGTGGGGTACTGCTTCCATGACCCAAGGAATAGTGGGCAGCTGGGTATGGAGGCTCAAGGTCTGGGAGAATCCCGAAGATCCCAGTGCATGACCAGTGATTGCTGCTCTACTATAGTATAATGCAGGGCCAAGGAGGGCGGTTTCTTGCATCAGAAGCCCAGAGAGAGTGTATGCACATCGTGGGTGGTCCAGAGGCTCCAGGAAGCATAAGAGGAGGTCGCTGAAGCCTCTTCACTGAAGGAGTCTCTGAGGCTCTGACAGGAGTGCCTGGTGATTTTAATTTGGACAGTTTGCAGAGCCTTTTGTTGGAGCGGACCCCCGCTGAAGGTGGGCTAATTTATTTGTAACAGCATAAATAGGCTTAAATAAAATTTGCACACAAGGGTTATGTTGCCTCCAGAACCAAAAAACTACTAAAAGATTGTGGACTTGTATGTCCATTACAAGTGTGTCAAACAAATGTCCTCGAAGGAGGAGGTCATAAAAGTTGCATCATATCTGTACTCCTGGGGAAAGGGGGATTCAGTGAGGATCCTGTCTGCAAAGACTGCCTGTGAGAGCAGAATGGCTTAGGTACTTGTGGTAACAAGGTAAAAACATGTCCTCTCAGAGGTGATGGCAAACTGTGGCTGAGAGGATGTTCAAACAGGCTCTGAACAGAATGTATTAACCAAATATAAAATAGCAAAATATTCAGCCTTGTGTAAATGAAGTGGGATCCCAGGTGTTTTAAGGGTACCCAAGATTTGTTTCCACTAGGGATAGTCTAATACAAAGATATAGAAATAGCTGTCATGAAGAAAGAAGTTTTCTGTCCTCACAGATCTTGATCAACAGGAGGCAGGGCACACCGTGGAAGGCCACACAGGGCAGCGCCAGGGTCAGTCAGGAGGCAGAAGGAGTGAGGGGAAAACGTGGGCGAGAGCCTTTCTTGTGGATTCCACAGGAAGCTAGGAGCGAGGAGGCGAAAACAGGTGTTAGATTGGCTGGTTTGAATCATTTCAGTGGGCTCAGGGCTCAGTGGTGTCCCTGGTTGTCTGGTCCCTGTCCCTGGGGTGATGAGGGCAGAAGAGTGGCCCAGAGTGGAAGAGCCTCATAGAGGAGGGGGTTGGGATGTTGACTCTAGATGATTACCTATGAAAGGAGCGCACTGAGGAGTCATCTGCTATTTCTAGCAACTAGTTAGCCCTGGCAGAGACAGTCCCTCCAAGGTGACCAAGGCCTCAGATGTCAAAGCATTTAGTACAGAAAGTGGAAAACATGGTTACTACACTAAGTATAACTGTAATTTGAGCCCTGGTGTAAAGCCTTGAAGGTTTGTCAACTGGTGCATTTTAGCAGATGTTAAAGTTAGTTCAGAACCAGTGTTGTAGAGGCAAAAGGCCAGTCAGTGCCATTTATCTTTTCACCATATAAATTATTTTAGTAAATTTTCAATTTCTAATTGGGCCAAATTGTGAGCCTTTCTGGAATTCGTTCTTTTGTGTGATTGCTTCCTCCGCACGTATCCAGCTTTCTCTCCTTCATTTATCTTTTGATTGGTCTGATGGTCACAGGATGCACTTGAGGCTGGGGAGTGTCTTTCTGCCCTGCTCTTGTTTATCATTTTTCCCTCCAGAGAGGCTCAGGTCGGGAGCATCAGGGTTAGGGCCACTCTCACAGCAATGGTTGTATTTAAGTCAGGTTTGAATTAACACCTTCACTGTGCCACAGGGGTGCTGTGCGTTATTTTCCTCATAACCCTGAGGATCAGGGTTTTGTGCCACCCAGGCTTAGGCAGAAGGGTGCATGGAGGAGCACAGGCCCCCCCACCATCCAGACGTTGAGGGGTGGAAGCCATCTTCTGCTGCAGCTCTACCTTCTCCCCCCTGGGGACTGATTCCCTCCCCCTCCCCTTCTCTCTGTGCATATTCTCTCAGGACGTTTTTGCCTGGAGAGTCACAGTGTTTGTGTTTCTCCATCCAATGACATGTGGGCAGACCTTCTGAGTGGTTATGGAGAAAGAGAACCAGGTGTTGGACCTCATAGATGAGTATCCTTTTCCTCCAGGGAATGCCAGTCAATCTCCCCAGTACTGAAGTCCACATCTGGGAGGTCATTTTGTCTATGGCCAAGGTAGGGACCTCAAGCCTCTTGATGACAAGATTAGTCTTTTGGCATGCTGGTCAGGAACAACACTAAGCAAAGCCCAAATGTGCTGGTTAGGGGTTTTGCATTGGGAGAGAAGTTGAATACGAAATGCTCCCCTAGACACACTTTTGTCTTTTGTCATCAGTGCCTGGGCCATGAGTTGCCATACATGTGCACCTCGAAACCCTTATGGGTCTGGAGAGCCCCTGACAGCAGCAAGATGAGCAGCAGCACAGGAGATGGGTGAGCTCACTGCCTTTGCCTGAACAGCACTGACTCAGGAGGGAACCAGGAGTCCTTCTGAAATCTTCCTGGGCTTGTGGCCTCCTTCCTTTTCTCGAGCTAAAGAGGGGGTCATCCCCAGGACTGTACGGGGGGTGTACTTTCCCAAACAGTGTCTCTGCGACTGCCCCAAGCAGCCACTGATGGTAATCTGGCTAGACACAGTGACCAAGGAGCACCAGCCCAACATTCAGGAAGTGGAACTCAAGCACCCACCAGTTAGGAGGTTGTGTTGCCACTGGCCTCAGGTGCGAGCCTGGGAGACCGCCTGCCAGACACAGGCCACACCTGATGGCACCTCAGTCCAGCATACAGTAAATTAAGAATATGTCTTGCCTTGTGGGCAAGAATGAGACATTTGGGTGGGAAGAGATGGCAGTATCCACTTGAGAGAACAGAACACAAGCTAAAGCTCAAGCTGACCGGCAATCGGCCCTCACACCCGAGATGGTAACTGCTGCCAATGACCCAGTTAGTTAGAAGAGGAATAGTTAGTGAAAGCTGTCTGGGTGTCCTCAGGTGAGGTTGGGTCATCTTGTTTGTGATGCTAACTGTTTTAGTCACCTCCTCTTTACTCCATTGGCGAGAGAGAGATTCCCATCCAAGCCTCATGGGGATGTCTGAACACAGAACACAGGACACTCGGCAACAAACAGACAGGATGAGCAGGAGTTTGTTAGTTTATCATGTATACTCACAGCCTGGGGAGGAGGACAACACACACCATGCAGGGCCACATGGGGATCGCACTTGGGGGCTGACTGAACAAGCAGAGGTTTGGGTAGTAACAGGACTGTGTGGTAACAAGAGGGTGAGGTGAGCCCTGGTTCCCACAGGAGGGTGTGATGGGCTTGTTGGAATAATTCCATGATAGGGAACTGAAGCCTGAGGTCGGGAACAAGCAGGCACTGTGTCTGGTCCCTGTGATGAGAAGGGTTGTTTGGCCAGGGGACCTTATGTGTGGGAGAAGAGGGCGCAGAGGAGTGGGGAATTGCAGTTAGGCCATTTGAGGTCCCCTAGATTTACCGGATATCAAGACAGTTCATAATATTGCATCTTAATATCATGTCTTATACCACAAGTAGTTACTAAAAAAGTAATTCTTCCTAGAAGTAACAACAGAGTTCACCAATGTCATAGGAAGGAGATAAACACACAAAAGTCAGTTGTATTTCTGTGTACGAGCAATGAATGCAGACAGCAAAGTTAAAAATACACTTAGGATCACTAATAAAAAAATACTTAGATGTAAACCTAACAAAACATGTCCAGGACTTGTATGCTGAAAACTACACAACACTGGGAAAAGAAATCAAAGATCTAAATCAGTGGAGAGACAGATCACGTTCATGATTGGAAGACTAAAGGCAGTAAAGATGTCAATTCTCCCCACATTGATATAGAGATCTAACGCAATAAAAAAACCAGTAAGATTTTGTTGTAGCTATAGACAAAATAATTATAAAATTTACATGGAAAGACAAAGGAACTAAAATAGCTAAAACAGTTTTGCAAAAGAAGACTAAGTGGGAGCCATCAGTCTACCTGGTTTCACAACTTATATACAGCTACAGTAACCAAGACTGTGTAGTATTTGCAGAGGGATAGACACATAGATGAATGAAACAGAGCAAAGAACCCAGAAATAGTCCCAACAAATATGCCCAACTGATTTTTGACAAAGTTGCAATAGTAACTCAATGGAAGAAAGATAACCTTTCTACAGACTACAGCTGTTTAAGGCTTGTTGGGGAAATCAGGCCAAAGATGGAACCACAAAGAAGGAAGATAATGATTTGAATGAGGTGCTAGGATGTGATGATGGGAAGGGAGGGATAATCTGTGCCCAGCTCAGGAGTAAAGTTGCAATTGCCAGGTGACAGTTTATTTCATCTTTCTGAATTCTCCTGTTTCTGACAGACCAGCTCCATAGGCTCTGGTAATTTTCCCATCAGTTAACACACTCTAAACTCAGGTCACCCCTAGCTATGCATACAGTGCCTCAGACTCCATTAGCCTTCCCATTAGCATCATTCTCAGGCTATATAAGGTGGCAAGAGGGCTCTCAGTAGGTTCAAATTTACCTCCTCCCAGGTTCAAGTCTGGCAGGAAAGAGAGCACTTCCAGACTTAGTAACTTTTATTCAATTCCTGGGATTCATTCTGATTGGACCAAACTGGTGAAGCTCTGCACACACAAAAGCACATACATACCCTGGAAGTATATCTGGGGTGCTTTGTATGTGCTTGACAGGCCTTGGTAAGGTCTGCCCTCAGTGCCAGGCATGGAGCCTCACCTGATCCAGGTAGACCGAAAGGAGAGTTTAGTTCTTCAGAATAAACTCTAGCTATTGTAATAGAAGCATGAAATCCTGGACAGGCAATGCAACAAATGTCCTCTCTAGCCTCTCTGGGAGAAGTTCCATGGTTAATACACAGATTTTTTCTCCAAATATTAATGTTCATGTGGATTTTAAACTCCAGTCACTCTTTTTTTGACTTTGTCAGAGGATGCAAATTAGGTGGCACTGAACTTTCTCAGGCTGGGACACTGTTCTCGGCTACCCCAGAGCAGTCACATATTTGCAGACATCATGCAGCCCGAGACGGCTAAGCTTGCCACTTCCAGATGGCTCTGCTAAGTTGTAAAGTTCCAGCCCCTTGATCAGGAGCTTAAATGGAATGAGCTGGCCCTGTCTGCAGGAAGGCTTTGGGGTGGCCCCTCAGCGAAAAACTGACCAAAGTCTCTGAATCACCGGTTTTTCTGACTCAAAGTCTTGGCAAAGAACACAAGCATTCTTTGCTCATCAATCAATAGAGGTATATCAATGCATCTGCCTCCACTTTCTTCCAGTCACCCTCAGCCTCACCATCCAGAGCTATGGGATCCACACCTTCTACTACGTGTTGTGACACTTACTACCCACTAATACCCATGAACTGTGTACACTGTCAAGCTGGAAGACTGTGATTGTTCAGTGGTTTGCGATACCCTCTAGGCTGAGAATGAGTCAAGGAGAGTGGTGTATTTCATCTTATCACGACTCCCCCTGGCTAAACTCCCTAACCTCTGCCTTCCCCACTGTCATTTCTACTTTGGGTATCAGTGAGCTCTTCTTTCTCCATTGAATAGCTTTTAATATCTTATCTTGACCCAAGATATGTGTATTGGGTTTTGTTGTTATTGTTTGTGTGTTTTGCTTGTGTGTGTGTGTGTGATCCAAGGTTGTTAAAGCTTGAGTATATCTATTCCCTGGTACCCAACAGATAATGAAATGAAA